ACAAAAGTTATGCAACACATCACCCTTGTATCTGGATACCTCAGATCCAGACACCTTGGCTACGTCTACACTGGCCCCAAATTCCGGAAAAGTCATGCAAAGCAGGTAAGTCAGAATAGGGAAATCCGCAGGGGATTTAAATATCCCCCGCGGATTTAAATAAACATGTCCGCCGCTTTTTTTCCGGCTTGGGGAAAAGCCGGAAAAAAGCATCCAGACTGGTGCGATCCTCCGGAATAAAGCCCTTTTCCGGAGGATCTCTTATTCCTACTTGAAAGTAGGAATAAAAGATCCTCCGGAAAAAAAGCGGCGGACATGTTTATTTAAATCCGCGGGGGATATTTAAATCCCCCGCGGATTTCCCTATTCTGACTTACCTGCTTTGCATGACTTTTCCGGAATTTGGGGCCAGTGTAGACGTAGCCCCTTGGATCAGGTTCTCTCACCAGTTTTATTCTTGAGTTCCTGCTCTAGCTCTCACTACACAGGGAGTTCCACTTGTCCTATTCCCTCCAGAAATCCAATCACAGCCCACAGTTCTTCCTCGGGAATGTATCTTTCTTCAGGCTGCAGTAGAGAGTCCCACAGTAGGCATCTCCTAGTCCCTGCTTTCCCTCCAACTCAGCCTAAAGCATGTAAGTAGTTCCCAGGTAGAATTTTTTTTCTTGAAAGGGCTGTATTTCCATGACAGATGCATGCAAAGAACTTGTGCCATGTTACACTCCCAGAGCACCTGTGTGTTACAATTAAATAAAGTGACTAAATTTTTAAAGAGTAATACTTTTATGATTAATGACTCCAGTATCCTCAACTCACCTAACACCATTGTCAACCTTCCAACCACACTCTTAGCCCCGCAGAAGAATCTGTCCTATCTCAGAGATTCTGCCCCACCATCCTCACACATATGATTCAGTTTTGTGGTGACCTCAAAGTCTATTTTCACCACCTCACGCTGAAGGAATATTTCCAGCACACCACTGAACATCGCACTGACTCTCGGGATCTCCCATGCCAACCCCACAAGAGGAAGGCCTCTCTGTGGACCCCTCCTGATGGTCATTTGCACTTCCACAAACATGCACAGGCTGATAGTGTGAACAAACAACATGTGACACAACCTCACCTATGCAGAACACAACGCTATCCACAGCCTCAAAAACAATTCTAACATTATAATCAAAGAGGCTGTCAAAAGAGGTGCTGTCTTACAGCAGTATTATCCAGTTGTGTTGGCTCTCTCCTCAGACCCTATGCTACCAGCACTCCTAGCTAACTTCAAGATACCACTGACTTCCTGAAGAAACTATGGAACATCAGTAATCTCCCTGAAAACACCATCCTGGCCACTATGGATGGAAAAGTTCTTTAGACCAACATTCCACATGATGACGGATTAGCAGCTATCAGGAACACTGTCCTCGATGATGCCACAGCACACCTGGTGACTGAGCTGTGTGACTTTGTCCTCACCCACAACTATTTCCAATTTGAGGACAATTTATACACTCAAGTCAGCTGCACAGCTATGGGCACCCACATGGCCCCGAAATATGCCAACACATTTATTGGCTGACCTCAAACAATGTTTCCTCGGCTCTCGTACCCTAGAACCCTTACTCTACTTACGCTACACTGATGACATCTTCATTATATGGACTCACAGGAAGGAGAGCCTTGAAGAATTCCACAAGGATTTCAACTCAGGATGTTAAGAGGAGGGTAATCCACTGATCATGTAGTTGATAGCTGTACACTTCCAGCCCACTCAAATAGCCTCATTAGTATCGGCACTACAATTGACACATACTTTTTTCCCCATCTACCTTCTTTTTTCTGTTAAAAATGGAGGGTCCCCCCTTTTCACACCAATCTGCTCATCTGAGGAAGTAGGTTTTGCCCATAAAAGCTCAAGATACTATCTATCTATCTATGCATTGTTTTTTAAAATTACAGACTAACACAGCTATGCCTCTAAGACTTTATTAAACCCAGTTATACTTTTGACTTTCAAAGCATCCCATCACAATGAGTTTGACCGATTGATTGTGTGTTGTGTGAAATATTCCATTTTGTTTGTTTTAAACCTACTGTGTATTAATTTCATCAGCTGATGAAATTCTGATGAAAACACCTAGTTCTGGTGTTCTGTAAAGGGATAAATAACACTTCCCTGTTCACTTTCTACATACCACTCAAGATGTTATGACCTCAATCAAATGCCCCTTAAGTCCCTCCTTTTCTAAGCTGAACAGTCCCAGACTTTTTAATCTCTCCCCATATGGAAACTTTTAATACCCTGAAACATTTTTATTGTCCTTTTCTGCACCTTTTCCACTTCTAATATACCTTTGTTTAAGATGACGGAACCAGAACTGCACACAGTATTCAAAGTGTGAACGCACCATGGAGAGAGAGAGAGAGAGAGAGAGATATACATGCATACTAGATATAGATAGATAGAGAGAGAGAGAGAGCGCTGCCATTATAATATTTAGTTTTATTATCTATTCCTTTCCTATTCACTATAGGCAATAAGAAACAATATTAACAGCATATTGGATAGCGATCTAAATGTATCTGGGGAATTTTCACTCTCTTCTAAGGCATCAAATTACTGTCCGCTGCCAGAGGCAAAATACTGGATCTGATAGACCATTCTTCTGATTCATCTGATTCAATATAGGAAACATTTTGTTCCTATAATTCACATAAGCATTCAAAATAATATCTGACTTTTTCAAATAATTGTATGGTTTCATTTCAACTGCCTTCAATTAAGTGTCTCAAAGACAGAAGTTGCGTTCCTTGGTTAAGAGGAGCATCCTCACGCTAACTTGATCCCTATTTCCCTCCTCAACTAACACCCTCTATTTGCTTCTAGTGTTTCACTCCTAACTGCTCTTTCTCCAATACCTCTCTGTGTATCTTTAAATATGCCTACCACCATTGAGCAACAAGGCACCTTCTTGACTCTATGTCCTTCCACCGTAATGATCATAACCCCATCCCTTATGGCCTTCCTGAGAGGTAGCTCTCCGGACTTCAACTTGCGTAGTCTCTCTCTTCAGAGAGTTAAATAAGTATGGCCACAGATACATCAACTTTATTTCATTCCACAGCCTGCCCATTCATTTCAGGATGCAGTCCAACATTTCACTCCATGTTTTAAACGACACCTCATGTACTAGCTTCACCCTACTCTCATGGATCTTCCCTCTCAGCTTCCCTTGCTACTCTCACCAGCTGCATTGCTAACACAAAGCATTCAAAACTCAGGGTGCTGTCCCCAAAAGAACATGAAATTGGCTTAAAATCATGATTTTCAAAATACATAATGCATTTATTTTCCCCTGTTTTTGAGTGTTTAGGTGTCTTTAATGGAGGCAAAGGTGAGGGACCATATAAATGCAACTGATATCCCATCATTGCCTTACAGTCACCCATATCTACTGTGTGTCCTCATACTATAGATGTATTAGCCTTTACCCCCACATGCTTCTAGGCAACCATAAAGTGCTTATCTCTATACAGTGACACATTCTGTAAAAAGAAACTCAATAGAAGAGAAATGTGTCATTAAAGATTGGACTGTAAATTCTAATGCCCAAGGGCAAAGTGAAGATTCAGCATGCAATTGTGGCTATGAGAAAATCTGCCTTCATTCAAGTCAATGGAAATTTCCTCATGGATTTCAATGGAGCCAGGATTTCACTCTTCCTGTTTTTGTGTGCTGAAACACATGGCCTTCATGTTGCATTATCATGTAGATTTTTAAAAAATTAACAGTTAAATACATTTCCATGAAAAAGCCAGCTTTTACAATTCAATGTGTATCAGCCAGTAATACTGAGCTGCATGTAGTGAGTTCTAAAAAGGCAAGTTAACTTTGTTAACACAGAGGGTGAGTAAAGAATGGTGTCATCTTTCACCCTCACCGGTATATCTTTTACTATTTGAATTCAGACAATATTACCTTAACATTTCCTTTCATGTGATGATCTTGTATATCGAGGACAAGGGTAACATTACAATGCCAATTATCTCGCAAAATGCCTCATTATCACTCAGTTATCCCCAGTTTACTCAATGCTCTCACGGTACTGGGAGAAGTGTCATGCTATATATACCAAGACATAATATATTGCAGGGAAATCCACAAGATAACTCAGTCATAATTTACCCTGCTGTTCAAAAGAGCAGTCTTGTGAATGCTCTGTAAAGCAGAATGATGTTTGCTTTTCTCTTGAAGCAGGAGATATTTATGTACAGTGTAAGTCGCTATATAAGTTGCACCTTCTTCCACTTACTTCTTCTATCCTTTTCTATGTACAGTTCCCATTCTTTACAATTATTATTTTTAAACAAATCTACTATGTCTAGCAGTGTTTCTAACTGAGGGAGCTTTCTGTAAGTATTTCCTTCTAGTTAACATGAAAACACTTCCTTCCTCTCTTGACAATGACACAAGCTCTTCTCTAGTCTGTCTAAAACATTACACCGGCCAGGGTTTCTCAAATGTAAATCTTTCTCCTGACCTCCTCTCAGGGGCCTGGAATCCTTTGGGCTTTGTAGCAACTAGTGTTTCTCTAGATATGCTTCCTCTCCTCTGCTCTTCCTACTGATAAATTTACCTTTCCTTGTTAGAAAGACTTTGCTAAATCTCTGAATGCATTCAGCCACAGGACATTTATTATTATCTAAACTTGATAATGCCTGAACAGTTCACTATTGCTATCTATTTTATTTCCATATACAAAAGTATAAATTTGTGGACCCATGGGATGAACTCCCATTTGCATTGGTGTTTTTTAATTTTGCAAAAAGGACAGACACTCAATCTGATAAAGATGCTGTTACCTGATTGCTCTGCATATTCAATAGTGATGAGGCTTTAGAACTACAGAAGAAACATCATTTGCAAAGAGTCAAAGACTCCCCCCCACCCCGAAAAAAATCCCCCTGACACCAGAATAAATCAAATAGACCAAGGGATTCACCTTGCAAAGCCAACTCCCCTGCTGACTCCATTAGCATCTCTTAATATTCTGGTGGAAATGACATGTCCGAAGGGTTTCAGCATATTCTCCAATTCCTGCTCGTCCATGGAAATGGGTAAATTTGAGATGTATAGGTTAGTTGGGTCTTGCTCTTGTTGCTAAGATAAAACAAAAAGAAGAGCCTTGATTAAACTCAGTACTAGAACAAACTGTGGCCCCCAATATCCAAAATTGTTGGGTACTCAAAATAATGCAATGCTAAGAAACCATAACATGATTAGTAGCAGAGCTCTGAAAGCTATTCACAGCTGACAATTTATCTGTCAAATATAGCCTGCTAAGGTTCATGCATGTGCTTCTCTTTCCAGAACTGAGCAGTCCCATCTAACTCAATAGGATCGTTCAGGTTCAGGACATTACACATGCACAAGTGTTTTCAGGACTTTGGCCGGATTTAGAAAGTTGGCTGAACAGCACATGATTTCCACCTATGTGTTCACTGCTCAAAAATATTCAGCACATGTTGTATGCAGAGACTTATATACCAGCCTGAAGACTGTTTGCAACTTGGTAACTATGGCTATGTCTAACTGTGGCTTTTGCCGTAAGAGCCTATGCAAATGAAGTGTGGATTAGCATATTGCCACACTTCATTTGCATAATTTATTAACGCTGTTTTTGCGCAAAAACAAGCAGAATGGACTTTTTTTTTTGCGCAAAAACCCTGTTTTGCACAAGATCCTTATGCCTCTCCGGAATCTTGCAAAAAATGGTGGCTTGTGTGCGTCAAAGGCAGGTGCCATACTACTTGTTTTTGCGCAAAAGACCCTTGCGTAAAAACAGCTTGAATAAATTATGCAAATGAAATGTGGTGATATGCTAATGAGCTTCATTTGCATAGACTCTTGCAGCAAAAGCCGCAGTGTAGACAAAGTCTATGAGTAAGGTTAGCTGAAAACAGAGAAGTATTTTGTGGAATTTTTCCAAAAAGCTCAATCGAGGAATTTTGCCTTGAATGTTCGATATTTCCAATTCAAACTTCAAGATGTTTTGACTATATATGCTTTATTTCTTTATTGGATTAACATAGTTCTTAGAATATGTTAAAATGTGAATACACAAGACTACACATTTGAAAATCATATTCTATTAATACTCAAGAGTATTAGTTTAAAATGGCAGTTTTGG